ACGAGATACGTCGGTTCATACAATTCGTCAAATGCTCCAATTTACCTTATATAAAAACTTTCAAATGCCCATTAAACGATGCAAAGCAATCAGCTGAGTGATGATGCGCGTTAATTTTACCAAATGACGTGATGTAGATCAGAAGAATCAGGAAAATTAAGAAAATTAAAAAGTCCCTTATTTCTATTCCTTGAAAAACCGGTATATGAGAGAGAACGATAACTGACCCATCATCAATATCCAAATTTGGGGTCGTCTAAAGCAGAGCAGAACCACGTGATATATGTCCAATCAAATTATGATCACCGGCGAAGCAAAACAATAAAAACGAAAAACCTGAAAAATACAAAAAACGGCGGTCTAAACCTACCTCGGGTGGGTTAATTAAAAATGTCGAGAAGGCAATTTTGCTTTTATATAAATACTTAAAACCTAACCTAACCCTAAAGTTAGCTCAATAAAATATATATTACAAGAATCTGCTCCACTTTAGATGTCCCCCAAATTTGACAAGTATCATCTTTGTTTCCACCAGATGACCATATATCGATCGGATTCCAGTATAACGATAAGTTCCGTGGTATCACTTTATTTCATATTGTAACCCATGACTTCGGTAAACTCACGTTTTAAAGGTGACAAGTTCGAATTGGTGTGTGCAACAAAAAAATTTACGAAATCATGAAATGTTACAGTAATACTGTCGTAATACCGTACGTACATGCTATAAAACACAACTAAAAATTAAAACTATTGAAGTTGTAAATCTACTGAAATATTATTCAGACAATGAACAATTTTAATTTTAAAAAAAAAGTTGTAAGTCGTTCTTCTTGCGTCCTTTTTGTTCAACTAGCCCTTACGTACCCTTACCAGTTTACCCTTCGTATTCCATCCGTCCATTAGCTACGGAAAACGGGTGACTCAAATAATAGTAATGGTAAACCTGGTAGCAGTACAAAGCCTTCAGCAAAGAGTTCAGGAAACCCAACAGAACCCACTCCTGCCATAGTTGTTATAAACGTGGGGGAACAGGTTGGACTAGCTATATTTTATTTCACAAAGGCTCTGACGATAGATATCAAAAAAATTTGTGACTGATATATGTCTTTCTGGCTTAATCTGGTGTTTTTATTTTTCTCAGAGGGGACATACCTCTTCAGATAGCACTTCTCCTATTTCCCCTGCAAATAACCATAAGTCTCATTCAAAAGAAGAGCCTCCGAAGAGGGACCCTTTGAATCGTTTAAAAGGTGCTCCAAAAGATGTTATTCCTCTAAGTAAAGTTCCGCGGCGTCAAAGGTCATCGAGATTTCATGCCTCAGGAGTAGTTGAATTGGAAAAATTACCTAATTTCAACGGTTAGTCTTGACAATTTACCCATTTTAAAAACTCACCTTCGTTAAGATAGCCATTGAATAATTATATTATAATGTCAGAGGTTTCACCGGATAAACGACAAGAACTTTTCCTAAGAAAACTTAATCAATGTTCGGTAATTTTCGATTTTAATGATGCAAGTAGTGACCTAAAAGGAAAAGAGATAAAAAGGTCAACATTGTCTGAACTCTTGGAATATATTACTGCAAATCGTGGAGTAATTACTGAACCAATATATTCAGAGGTCGTTTCTATGGTTAGTTGTAAATTTATAATTTAGATAATATATTTTTCGTCTTAATTTGATAGATCATAATATTTGAATAATAAATCTGCTCATGATTTGCTAGTTTGCTATTAATCTTTTTAGAACCATACCTCCACAAGTTAATCCTATCGGTGATGCTTTTGACCCTGAGGAAGATGAACCAGTCCTTGAGCTTGCATGGCCACACCTTCAGATTGTTTACGAATTCTTCCTTCGATTCATTGAGTCACCCGATTTCAACACAAACATTGCCAAGAAATATATTGATACGCAATTCATATTACATGTATGAATACTATTTAATTTTGACTGTGGTCATTCGTTTTCTTGGAAAAAAAAAGATCCTGAATTTTTTTTCTTTCTTTCGTATTTTTTTTTTTTTGTTGTTTTGTGCTAGTTGTT